CCCCCCCCGTGTGTGTGTGTGTGTGTGTCTGTGCGCGCGCCCTATCGTCGGCTGTGTGTGCCCCTCCTCTTGCAGACAATGTCTCAGGTGCGCTCCCGCCTCGCTCCCTCTGCGACTGCCCGAGCCGCCGCGCCTCCCCTCGGCCGCGGCCCTCCCCAAGGCTGTTCGCCTCTGTCCCCCCCCCCTGCTCTTTTGGGGTCTTTGCCCTCCATGTGTATGCCTCTTCACCGGTCCCTTGCCTGACTCATGCGCACTCGCCCCCCCCCCTCTCGCCCTCTCGCCCTCCTCGCTTGCATCTCGCGTGCACATACCTCACGCGCCCGTTTGGCACCAATGCAGTCCGAAGCCACCGGTGAGACCAAGGAGTTCCTTTTCAAGATCCTCGTCGTTGGTGACATCGGCACCGGTAAGACCAGTATCATCAAGCGCTATGTGCACAACATTTTCTCTTACTTCTACCGTTCCACCGTGCGTTCTTTCGTGGGCCACCTCACTTCCTGTTCTTCTCGCCGTCGCCCGCATGTTTGCCGCCTCCCCCCCCATCACCAGACGCCTTCTCCATCGGCGCCGCCTGTAGTGTCAGCCTCCTGCTGTGCATTTTGCGCCCTGTGGTCCCACCCCTGTGGTTCCATCTTTGTCCGCCCTTGGGTCCCACACTCACCTTCCTTCGTCGTCCTCCTTCGTTGCTCCCCTTCTTCCCCTCTCCTCTCTACTTCTTTCCGCCCCCCCTCCTTCCCCAAACACACCCCGTAGATCGGTGTCGACTTCGCCCTCAAGGTCCTCCAGTGGGAGCAGAACATCGTCGTGCGCGTCCAGCTGTGGGATATCGCCGGCCAGGAGCGCTTCGGCAACATGACCCGTGTCTACTACAAGGACGCCGTCGGTGCCATGGTCGTCTTCGATGTGACTCGTACCTCCACCTTCGAGGCGGTGTCCAAGTGGAAGTCCGACATCGATTCCAAGGTCCGCCTTCCCGGGGACGCCATGATCCCGGTGGTCCTGCTGGCCAACAAGTGCGATCTCAGCAAGGACGGCCTTGTCCGCAATGCCGCCCAGATGGACAAGTACTGCGAGGAGAAGGGCTTCATCGGCTGGTGCGTCATATCTACATTCGCGCGTGCACACCGGCGAGGCGGTCGGCGGAGGAGGGGCCTCCTCGCTCGCCCTCTCCCTCTCCCTTCATTGTGCCATCCGCCGCACACGCACACACACACACACACACACACATGCACACACATGCACAAGTGTATCCAGGCCTGGGGCGGCGCTCCCTGCGTGCTTTCTCCCCCCCCCCCCCACCAAGGCGGCAGGCTCCCTCCCGCACTGGCCCCATGCTCGCTCGCCACCCCTCTCATCCCCCCTCGCCGGTCCCTCTCATCCTCACCTGCCACCCCCTCGTCCGCCCGCTCCACCTGGTCGGTCCCGTCTCACCCCGCGCGACGCAGGTTCGAGACCTCTGCCAAGGAGAACGTCAACATCGACAAGGCCTGCCGCGCCCTCGTGGCCAAGATCCTGGAGAACGACGTCAGCAACAACAAGCGCGATGCCAAGGCCACCGTGGTCGTCGACGTCAAGGAGAGCCCCGCCGAGTCCTCCGGCTGCTGTTAATGCCTGTCTCGACAGCGTCACCCATGCTCCCCCCCCCCCCCCCCCCCTCCCCGCCTGCATGCGCGTGAGCCAGCAGACTGCCGCCCCTCTCGCCGCCCTCGTGGCCGTCTTTCTTGTCCGTCGCGAGGGAAAGGAGGGACCGCCTCTTCCCTCCTATTTTCACACCCCAACGAGTCTTCAATATATATATATAACATAAACACAGTCGCTCTCGTCTGGTCGGCCTTCCCGCGCCTGGTCGCGTGCGCCGCAAGCCCTCCGGCTCGCCTGTCGCCCGCCTCCTCCCTGGCAGACGGCGTGGTGTGCCAGGCCGGCCCCTGATCTGGGCGGTTGTCCCCCCTCCGAGCTGCTTCGTATGCCTGCCCCGTGTCCTTTCCTTCGGGCACAAGAGGGGGAGAAAAAAAAACAAACAAAAACAAAAGCAGGCCCCGTGTGCCGCCCGGAGCCACGAGAGCAGCACGCCTTCGCCGCTGTCTTGCTGCCGACCTGCTGCCCTGCCTGGTCCGCCACCAACAGGGCAAGAGAGGGGAGGGCCAACCGGCGCGGGCAACGGACCCCCAAGCCCTTCCCAGCGGGAATGCCTTCATGTGGCCACCGCGCAGCAAGGCCAGGAGGAGCAAGCGTCGATGGTTTAGTGGTAGAATTGCCGCCTGCCACGCGGTAGACCCGGGTTCGATTCCCGGTCGACGCACTCCTCTCTCTTTTGCCGCGGCAGCCCCGCCGCTGCTCCTCCCTCGCCGTTCGCGGCAGCAAAAATGGACACACACACACACACACACACACACACACGCAGGCGCACGACGCTCCGTGAAACACATGGGGCCAGAGGGGTTTCATTTTACCTTTTCCTCCCTCCCGCGCCTCTCTCGTCAGACACTGTCGTCGCGGGGGCGCACCCGGCGCGTCGGGCCTATCCACCCGGCCTTCTGGAAAAAGTGATAGCACGCCTCCACCTTGTCCGGGTCCAGACCAACCAGCGCCTGCGCCCGGTCCAGTGTCAGCACCCCGTCCTTGTCGCCGGCCAGCTTCGCCTCCGACAGGAGGGTCTCCTTCAGGGTCAAATACGCGCGTGGCAGGAGCCGCAGGAAGGAGCACAGCCGCGCCTCCTCGGCCGACAGCAGCTGGAACCCCTCGCAGTGGGTGATGTCCAGCGGGCCCTGGCGGCGTGGGTGGGCAGCACCCTGTCGAAAGTCCACGCGCACAAGTGCACGCGGGCATGCGCACGCGGTGTGGTCGGGGGGATTGCCGGGCCGGGGGGGCAGTTAGCAATCGATCACCGGGTCCGGCTCCTCCTGGTGGTGGGGAGGGCCCCCGGGGAGAGAAGGTGTGCCATGGCGGCACGGGTGTCGCACACGCACCTGGTGTTGGTCGCGCGCTGCGCGGTACTGTCGGGATGACACGGCGCCGGCGCCCGGCCCGGCCGAGCCCGGCCCGGAGGCACCCCCATGCCCCAGTCCCCCGGACATGAGTAGCGTCGATCCGGGCTTGACAACCCGATTGGCCGGGTCGTGATGCTGCCGAAGGAAGGGAGGTGAGTCAGCACAAACGGGCGGCGGCAAGGGGAAGGCACACAGCCATGTGTCGCAGGCAAAGGCGGAGAGAGACAGAGAAAGGGCAAGGTAGGCAGCAGCAGCAGCAGCAGCAGCGCACGCGAGCAATCTTGTCCAATTCGTATGTGGCCGCCGCGGCCTCGGTTCGGATGCCCGCCTGGCGGTACTCCTGCAGCTGGGCGATGCGCTGGCGGATGCGGTGCTCGTCTGTGGGCGGGCGGACGCGCCCGGCCGGAGTGTCAGCGCAACTTCGCCTCGTCTGGAGCAGACTGTTCGGCCAGGGGGCAAAGAAAAAGGGCAGGCCCCCCCCCCCCCCCTCTCCCCGCCGGAGAACGCACTCAGTAGACCCTCAACGAAGAGGATGAAGTCCTCGTGCGACTGGAGCTTCGAGAAGACCTTGTATCGATTGATCAGATCTCGCTCTTCCTTGGACCGGTGCTTCTCCTCGGACCGGTACTGTATGTGTGTATGTGTGTGTGTGTGTGTTTGCCAGAGGGGGGGGGGACACGCACCCCGGCGAGGGAAAAAAAAGAAAAAAAAAGAAGAACAGCGTCAGTCAGAGCACCGCGAAGCATGCTCAGAGGGCGAGCGAAAGAGGACACCGGCAGGCAGCGCACCAGGCTGAAGTTCACCAAGCCCCGTTCGAGGAGGAAGTTTCGCCTCTCATACCGCCGTGCGAGGCGGTAGTTGTAGATTTCCAGCATCTTCAGCTTGAGCTCTGCACATGTCCGGCAGGTGGGCGAAAGGAAAGAAAGGCAACACACGGACAATGGCCCCGGCCCCGGCCCCGGCCCGGAGGAGCGCACAGATCGTCCCCGGTCAGCCAGCATACAGCCTCCCACTCATCCCGATCAGCGGGCCGCGCAGAGCCACCAGCCAAAATGGAACCCCGCCCCGCCCCGGGCAAACGCACCGATGTCCTCCGGCGAGTCCTCCTCATCATTGAAGAAGAGATTGGTGATGGCCTGCTCGGCGTCATTGTCATGCTCGACCTCAAACTCCCCGCGCAGCGGCATGTAGGTCGGCAGCTCGTGGCACACCGGGCCGCTGGGATCCGGCTTCTCGTGGCGCAGGACCGGCGCCGGGAGGCTGCCGGCGCCGCGAGCCAGCGCCAGGCGCTTCCGCCGATACTCATGCTCCTCGACCGGGTCGATCGGGATGTCGGTGCGCTTGGTGGACCGGATCCCCGGGACCGCAAGAGGGAGCGACCAGGGCGGGCCAGCAACCAGGGACCAGGAACCACGGCAGCACGTCCCCCCCCCCCCCCCCAAAGATGGACAGCCAAATGGAAAGGAAGTCAGCGCATGCACACCACGCAGGATGGATTCGCCCCCGGCACCCCTGCACAGCATATCGGCCCCTCGTACCGGCATCGGCGCCTGGGGCCCGGTCAGGTAGATGCGCTTGTAGTGGTCGTCGATGTCCTCCGGAGTCTTGGTCCCCATGAAGACCGCCACATCGTACCAACTCCCGAGCCCGTGCTTTTCGATGCCCTCCAGCAGGGCGATCTCCTCGTCGGCCCACCAGTCCGCCGTGAACAGCGGATAGTCCAGGGTGTCCAGCACATGATACGGATGCTCGCGCAGGTGCAGGCCCACCTCGGCCCCGAGGGCAAAGCACTCGACGCACAGGTCGACATCCTCGCACACGGCGCACCGGATGCTGATGGAGCGCGTCACGTCCAGGCTGCACCCGCAGCAGTACTGCTTCTCGCGGCCTGGCTCGGGGTCAGTCAAGGGGCCGGATCAGCCACAGCCCGGTGGAGGGCGGGCGGGCGGGCGGGCGGGCGGGCGGGCGGGTGGGCGGAGGCCCCGCATCACAGGGATCGGCCACCGGGACGCACCTTTCAGCCGGAACCCCGGGCTGGTGGGGATATCCTCCGCGAGGATGCTCTCCAACTTGGCCCGGTCGATTGGATTGACCATGCTTTCGGCCTATGTCCGCGCGTGCGTGTGATATGGATTGTGAGGGGGGACGGAGGCAGGGAGAGAGAGAAAGAGAGAGAGAGAGAGAGA